ACCAGGCGTAGAGTGGAAGGCTGGCTGGTCTGGTTACCTCGATGCTGGGGGCTGGTCTCCGTCTCAGAACAAGGAACAGCCTTCAAACATCTGTCCCTAGTTCTTCTAACACGAGCAGGGATGGAGCCAACGCCATATTTCCCCCTACCCGTAATCACAGATTACTCCTATCACCAGCTTATTCTCTTGACAAAACTCTATTAGCCTTTGCCCTGCTTCGTTCTGAACTCCAAGGCCAAACTTCCCTGTTGTTCCTTTTATCTCTTGGCTCCCTACTTTAGCATTCCAGTCCCCTAGAATGAGAAGAACGTCTTTCTTTGGTGTCAGTTGTAGAAGGGGTTGTAAATCTTCATAAAATTGTTCAATTTCAGTCTCCTCAGCAATGGCGGAAGGGATGCATGCTGACATACATATTCAGAAAAGATGGGCAAATGAGTATTGCCCACACCTGGAATGGGAATATAAGCCACTATCTCAGAACAGCGTGTGTAGCCACCAGCTTCCAGCAGTGGCGGCTCTTTGGTGACTCCAGAAGAGCTCAATTTATGCCCAGCACATAATGGGAAGGGCCTCCCGGCCCTCAAGGTGGAAACCAACACCTAAAAGGGGCCTAAAAGGGTGGACACTGGCAACTAATACCTATCCTTCTGTGCTGGTTGGGGTCATGATCCTGATATGGTCTACCAGCTAGTAGCTTAGTTGCAACACCAACTGAAGGTCCTGGCCAAGGGTAGCCCCAGCTACAGTACATTGTGTAGGCCTCCTTCGGTCTCAAGGGACGATGGTCACGTGCTCTGAATAGAGGTCTTGGAAGAGTGTCTCGTGTGGTTGAGAAGGCCAGTTTGAGACAGACAATCCCTTCCACGCTGGAGACAAATGCATTACAGAGGTCAAAATACACTTAAACTCTTATAAATGCATATAATCCAAACAAATCACTAGGCAGTGAGTTGGGCTGCAGGAACTGCATGAGCAGTTTCATCTCTAGGATTCTGATGGGAGTCATCAGTGAACAAAGTATACGGAAAATGCATAAGAAGAACAAGCCCCCAGGGATCACCTGTCATTCCCCCCCCACCCACTCTGAAACATTAACATGGTTGACGATATATGAAAGGGTGGAGCAGGAAAAACAGAGGGAAGTGCCCAGGTTCTTCACAGGACGGATTTCCAGGAGCCACTTATTCACTCGGCGGGTGGGGGGGGGTGTCTTGGCTCACCTGAAGCTTAGCCAGATGCAGGTTGGCTGTTGCTGCCGATCCTTCAGGTTGTTTCTGATCCACGGCCACGGTAACCACGAATGATCTTCAGAGGGGGTCCTATCCTTCACAGGCTTTTCCTGCACACTCTGGCAGGGGATTCGCTCTCCCCCCCCCCAACACACACACACAAATACTCCCTGTCTGGGTTTCT